CCGAAACTTTTCACCAACAAAAATTTCTACTGACAGCACTAATATATTATTTTACACTATCTCTGGAACATGCTGGATTTAGGAAGCACTTTATAAATTGCTTCAATTAAAACATTCGTGCTATCAGAAATTCTATGGATAAAACTGTGTATTGAATTTCTCCAATATTCATAAAATGAAGGGATACAGTTGTTCACAAACATCATGCTTGCACTATTATTTCTAGGCAGCCCAACTTGCGTTATTGAACCTTCATTAAATTTACTCCAAAGAGTCATACAGTACACATTCACACAATATGTCCTAAACAAATGACATTTAACCTCAGCAGAACATTTAGAAAAATATCTGCTTAACATGTTAGCTCTGATACATAAAGCCCTATAGTGTATTGTTTCTTAATATCAGCATCATCATCAAGAGAATTACTAATCACATGACCCAAGTATATAATTGAATCAACAAATTCCAAGTCAGAGCCATTAAGTTTAATGCTGGGAATACCTAGAAATCTCCGAGCATGTGGGCATAATCGCATGCATTTTGATTTCGTAGAGTTATACAATATATCTCTATCAATAGCAAATACCTCGCATACATTTATGAGCTTCTGAAGTCCACTAGCAGAGGGAGCAATAAGAACCATGTCATCAGCATAACTAAGACAATTTATCATAACATCATCTACTATACATCCATTATTATTGGATCTAAGTTGTAAATTAAGATCTTCAATATAAATGTTATATAGCAAAGGGGATATCACTCCCCCTTGCCGATCACCATTACTGACAGAAAATGACGAGGAAACACAATTACCCCATCTGACAACAAATTTTTGGTTGCAATACCAAAATGTGAGGAGCTTAACTACAGGGATCGGTACACCTCTCTCAAGTAAAATAGCAAACAAGGTCCAATGATTAACACGATCAAATGCTTTAGAAGCATCGAGAAAGCAACAGTAGACAGGGCTACCTTGACTATGATAATACTGGATAACTTGCTTAAGAACCAAGATACAGAGACCAGTCGAATGACCAGCTTTAATGCGAATTGGCAATCATCAGTTCTAAGTGTATCGAAAGTGGGTCCGATCGAGATAACACCATCTTAGAGGAAATTTGTCTTTTCTAGACGCCCGAAAATAACCTGATGCATTTGGGCGATCAATTTATATATAAATATTTTTTTTTTTTACCACCCCTCCCCCTTAAATCCACCTCTGCTATTTAAAATCACATATTAAGATTGATCTAAATTTGATTTAAATGCATTAAATATTAATGTACATTGTAGTCGATCTATAGCAACAATTTTAAGGGCCTGTTATTGGCAAATCCGTGGCTCTTTAATTAGAATGAATTAAGTTATATAGTTAGGTAACACTGGCGTTAAAACAAATCTATGAAAATGTTAATAAACACTTTTTATCTAAACTTTCGAAATTCGCCTCTGAATGTTATTGTCGCAGTACTTTAAGCAATAAATCAATGTTGCTATAGTATCAGAATTATCTTCTTCATTCTCATATGCAACCTAACTAAGGAGTGTCTTCGAAGAAGTCTCTGCAAATCTTGCTTGAAATTGGAGGTGCCATCGGACCCGAATGATCACATCGAGCATTTATATATGGCGCTCTACATAAAGTACACTGCGACACCTATAATTCAAATGGGCAATAATAAATTAATTAAATTACTGTATTTAATCTATATTCAAAAGAAATTCAAAAGAGATAGAACCTGCAATAGTAAGATGGAACATATACAAAGACACACAATATGGTACAAACAATGAACTGTCTTCATAAAGCTTAAACGAGGATAAACCTTATCAATATATTTCATCCGAACCATTTAAATTATTAAATGTAACTGTTATCTTTTAAATAAACTCTCTTACGTCAAATCGGCTGAATCGGGGAATATATTAAGTGCATTTAGTGCAAGTACAAACAAAGGTACACGATTAGAATCAAATATAGAATTTAAGCTAACAAAAACAAAATATCCAAAACAAGTCTACGTTATATTAGACCTATATTGAAAAAAAAAATGTTCACAAATTCGGCCAAATTCGGCCAAATATAGTTTGGCCGTGACTTTCCAAATGCTACGGCCAGGCAAATTTTTATACGGCCAGATTTGAGGAATCTGGCCGTCAAAAAGGCCAAATGGCAACCCTGGTGTGTAGTGTGTATGTGTGTGTGTAGACATTTATGCAAATGCGCATGCGTCAAAGAAAAGTTTTCCGACATTTTGTTTTACATCGCGATGCGAAGATCGATGTGAAGTTTCTTTAGAGTTCAGTCAGGGCTCACGCTAACCGACCGGAATGTCGGCATGGATGAAACTATTTTGGTTTTACGGCAAAAAAATCATCTGCTGTAGGCATAGGTATTTTTTAAGGCCTAAAATAAAACTAAAATATTTTAATACTTGCTGAAATACATCGTTTCTTCATTTAGATCTCCATTTTTCACTTAGTCCATGCCGACGTTTTTTCTATTGTATACGTATGAGTAGTCATATGAAGGTACTATATCCCCGACAGTTGGCTGTGCAGCAATGTACCCTTTGAATGCAAACTGAAACAGGTGAAAATATAAAGGCAGCCGACTGTCGGGTACATAACGACTATCTAGCTTTCCACAAAAACATGAGGCCTAAGCTAGGCCTAGTTCAGTATTACTGCGATGCAAGGGTAGGCCTAGTTAGATCGTTCAATCAATGATATCGTGTTATCGTCTAATCAATTAAATAATGTGTGTAATATTTAAGAATGCACCACGTGGGTCGCTTTCTTTGTTATGCGGTTGTAGTGTAGTATACGTAGCAGGGTGACGACAGCAAGCTAAGCCTAGCCCAGGGCATAGATCGTGTACGTTCTTGATAATCGTAATGAAAACTTCGGGTGACAGA